TGTGCGCCTGATCGTAGTCTGCTAACGGCGGTAGTTCTTCGATGGGGAGGTGAGGTACGCGGTAGGCCTTGTACACTGTTTTATCCAGCCATGCGAATACTATCCTCGAAAGTACGGATGCGGTTTGCTCGGGGTGAGGTTCTGAAGAAGGATGCTATAACACGGTGTATGTTCATGAGTTTCACAATGCAGAATAGACGACCCATCTCACCTTAGGATCAACAGGTGTATAGCGCCGTGGAATTGACAGCGGGACGAAGACTGCAGCAAAGGTGAGGTCGGCGAGTTGGAACCATAAAATGACACCCTCTGCAGCATCGAGTGGGCTGAGAGCGAAGGTAGCGAGAGGCCAAACGTCTCGATAGATATATACCCCCCATACCGAGAGTAAGACAAAGTCAAGATGTCGGATTGCTACTACTGCTACTCCTGACTTCGCAAACACAGAAATTGTTGCCAGGAACGACGCGTATATCTGAGGTAGCCGTGCAGTCAACTGTGAAAACATTATAAGCAAATGAGAACATACATATGTTAGGCAGACGGTGATATGCAACAGCGCATGGCTTCCCTTAGACAAATCTTGGATGATCGGGATGGCCGACAGGCCAACCAGTGAGACGCAGGATATCATTCTGGCGATATTGAAGGACAATATTCCGACTCCTCCGTGTCGAGCGACATATGATGCGAACACATTCCGGCTGTCACATCTATGGCTCGTAGAGACAGGCGCTCGCTGAGCGCCGCTCTCGCTCTGTGACGCTAGAGGTCTGTTACTGAGCGCCTTAAAAAGCAGAAAAAGCTGTATCAGCAGCAAGGCGAGCGAAGCGCCAGCCGCATATAGCGGGATCATGCAGGAATCTTCATAGATGCTTGACGATGTAAATTAACTTGACAATATCTCAAGAGACGTAAGAGGAACCTACTTATGTTCGTCCTCAACAACTAAAAACGTTGACGGCAACCGTATGTTGAGTTTTTGGGTCAAAAAAACCTGAGTTGTGTCAACGAGAGAATGGGCGTTCTCCAATTGAACCGCAACACCCATGGCCGTTGCCCAAAGTATGATTGAGATGGAAGCGCGGAAGTCTCTCGGCCACTCTCAGAGAGCTTGTATAGTGCTTCTTGCATCTATGTCCGCGACCGACTCACATTGCGTTATCTTTCGGTTGCGCGACCAGCGTGGCTGTACGACTGACTAGGGCCTCGCTAGTCAGGACATTTGATCCAATCACAGGCACTGATAGTGGCAGCTGATAGCTCGTCGGCTTATGTAACGTGCTGGTGCCTGTAATCGCATCCAATAACCCGACCAACGAAATGACCAGCAAGAATTGAGAGGTCGTACGATGAGCACAAAGGAGAGCAACACTGATCCCAAATCAGAAAAATCTAAGGAATTTTGGGCCCTGATCCCTTCTGTTTCAGATAAAACCAGTCTCATGACCTCAGCCACATTCCGGGTGTATACCCCGACCAATGCTGAAAGCCTGATCGAAAGATAGACAATGCGGTTGTCTCGTACCAATCCCCTCGTATCCGCACCCCACCACCGCGATAGAGGGTCTGGGGCATTTCGATAGGCGTACCCCCCCTCTCAATTAGCGCCCATGAAGCGCCCATCTGTAACGGTCACAGTGCGCTTCTGGTGCCTGGAAATGATGTGGCCTTTGATTACTTACCAAAGACGGCACTCACGTGGTGACGTCTCGCAAGTCGTCTCGAGATGCTATATTGTGGCCTGCTGCAAAGTGTCTTGAGAAATCATATGTGGATTTGGATAACAGTTTGAAAAATGTACAGAGTGATGACTATGTGCCTGAGACAGTTGGAAAGTCGTGGTCAAATTCATGTATTATGTGCCATAAAGCAAGTCTTTGGTAAGTGATCAAAGGCCACATCATTTCCAGGCACCAGAAGCGCACTGTGACCGTTACAGATGGGCGCTTCATGGGCGCTAATTGAGAGGGGGGGTACGCCTATCGAAATGCCCCAGACCCTCTATCGCGGTGGTGGGGTGCGGATACGAGGGGATGGGTACGAGACAAACAATGCGGCAAGTACGGGACAGCTATCGTGTCGCCCATTACTTCAACACACTAGGATGGATGCACGGAGACTGAAGATCGGCCATGGGACTGATACCCAAGTAGGAGAGTGATCATATATGGAAGGCTTTAGTAAGCGTTGCATCAGTAAATGGACCAAGTCCATACGTAGAATGGCTAAGAGAATATCAGGAAAAATAGGGAAAATAGTCCATTATTATAGGAAAAAAAAGGCTCGGTGTCAACTCGTGACAATGACAAAGATCGACGCACTGCGAAATTCGAACAGTACACAACTTGAACCAGCCTATATAGGAGGGTGTCTGAGTATGGATGCTGAACGCAAGTTGCAGTTGAACTCACTACGGCATCAAGCTGCGACATCAGTGCGATAGTCTCGAGCGCTCAATGTACATACACATTACACACTCAAATCTTATTGGCATGCCTATTCATTATCATCGGGAATTTGTTTCGCGTAAATAAGGGGAGATGGCGATGGCGACATTCCTGCCACTTCCCGATGCCTGATCAAACAGATTAATCAATTCGACGTCCATCCCCGTACCCTTCATACCATGTTCAGAGACTAATTCACCCAGACAGCAATAGAAAAAGCTCACCTGCAACTCCTCCTTCAGCCACTGCAGCCGATCGAGCAGGATAAAGCTCTCCACGACCGGTCCCAATATACACCTCAACACATGCATGACTTCAAGGCGGCTCTCCATTTCCCGATCCCTCGGGTGCCCCTGCATCAGGTCTACACCTAGTTTCTCCCCGGCCCGTGCGAGAAACGCGTCCCAATTGTCGTACACCGAGTCGTTCAGCTTGCCGAGGCGGCGAAGGTGTACTGGGCAGTAGTCGTCGTCGTCGGCTTGCTTGTTATCATTGGCGGGCAAATTTGGCACCCGCGCGAGGATACCCGCGAGGAGGGCCCGCCACACAACTTTGCGGATCGCGAGGCGCGTCGCAGTGGATGCTACCTCGGAACGCATCCATTGCGAGGGAACTTGTGCGGCGAGCTGGAGATGATTGTTGGTTAGATAGGTGGGCGGTCGCCCTGAAGTAGGATGCGTAAGTTCGTGGGATAGCGGGAAGTCTGTTGACGAAACTTATTAGTGACCACGAGTGTCATTCGAGATGTGGAGTCGAACATACCTGAGGCCTCGAGCAGATTGTAACAGCAACCAACCACGATGGCCGCTTGTGGGGACCACTTCTGGTTCCCGTCACTGGATTTTAGACGTGCCAGGAATGCGCGCAGGATGTTCGGCGTAAGAGATCCGCATGCATGCAGTGCCACGAAGAGCGCTGGCGTCGGTTTTCCATACAAGCTTTCGCGCTCCTCTGATGTCGTAAACTGATACCCTCGATGGAACCACTCATCAACAGAGGATAAAAGTGTGTCGGTCGTGATTCTGAGGGTCATGTACGTCAACGCGCTTAGTTGCTGTTTTGCTGGCGTGGGATCGTTGTCGTTTGGATGCGGGACCGAGGACTCATCTTGAGCTGGAGTAGGTATCTCTCTCTTGCGTCTTTTTTTGCCAATGGCCTCTCGTCGCACAGCACCTTGGGACTGCACGTCACTCCAGTCAAGTGCAAGAACATTCAGACCAATTTTATCCCGCAAGCTTCGTGACAGATATGCCTGTTCAAGCACAAGTACACAATGGTCAACACACGGGAACCGCAAAATAGTGGAATACACCAAGAATTGGAAGAGGTAAAACGGCCATAGCCATATTTAGATAGACAATCAAACGATGGTAAACAAATATACGCAATAAGGGTCTTTGTTCAAGGTGAACAAATGACGACAAGGTATTCATGCCGAATAATACAAGCGGAGTGACTCCGGTGACGCCGTTTCAGCATTTATGCCACATCGAATAATGCAATCGAAGTGGAAAATATGCTAATAGAGAACCGCACGCTTGTAGTCAAAAATGTGATGGAGAAGGGACGTAGGATGGACAGAACGAACTTGACCCGCACCAACATCGACAACATGCCTGATTGTCCTCAAGCTCGGCGAAGAACAGAGAAGCCGTGAGGTGTATGCTGTCATGCGAACGACTTCGTGTGCCTTCTTGGGCGACATGCCGACCATGCGGGCGTAATCGGGGGCCTCGATTCCAGAGGATTCGTAATCCACAGATTGATAGACGGCTTCTCGCGTTGCATTTTGTGGGCATGATGACGCGAGGAAGCGTGCGGGGCCGGGCTCGCGTGATAACCGCAGACGACGGGTGGCGTCCAAGAGCTCTCTGAGATCGGCCGGTATCGTCGAGTACAAGTCACTTAGGCCGTCGCAGGAAGGATGAGTGTAGTAGCGCAGCAATAGGAGCCATTTGTGTTCGCCGACCGGCGGAAGCACCTGCGGACCGTTTGCCGTAGAATATCCGTGAGGACGCTCGCCAGCCCATTCTAACCAAGATGATATCTCTGATGAGAGCGTATGCGATTCAGCATTTTGACAAAGCCAGTTTGGATGTGTCGTCAGTAGTTCATTGACGATGGGAGTGCAGAGAAAAGCATGAACGCTGTGTAGAGAATCAGACGTTGACATGGTGCAGAAACAAGTCAAAAGCGCCTGCTATAATCACACGGCGTCGCTTAGGCGCTTGTTCTGTACATACATCGATATTAGCCAGGTTATAGTAGAATGGCAAGTTCAACACTTTGCTACGTGCAATTGCGTTTTGCTGCCCTCATGCCTCAAGTCCTCGTTCCTGATGGCCTCTGCAAGTGTGGTAATCTTCGTGACTAGCATTTGTCGTTCCTCGTTGGTCATAGAGTTGCAAGAAGCACGGGCGTGAGTACTACCCGAGCGCGCGTGGTGATCCTGAGCTCTTCGCGCACTATATACAGCAGTCCCTATGTCCGGAGGATCTCTGTGCAGCTCCCGTCACGACGGCCATAGTCTGATAACTTGCGCGTGGCACCATGTCAGACACCGAGAAGGCATTCCAGATCAACGTCTCTGACGCAGACATCGAGTTCTTGCACAAAAAGCTGGAGCTTACGCGTTTTCCCGACGAACTTGACGAAGCCGGTTGGAACTACGGTGCCCCTCTTGCGGACGTCCGACGCCTGGTGGCGCGCTGGAAGGACGGGTATGACTGGCGCAAGGTCGAGGCAGAGATCAACGCGATTCCTCAGTTCACCAGGGACATCGATGTAGACGGCTTCGGCACGCTCAACATCCATTATATTCACCAGAAGAGCTCTGTAGCGACGGCAGTGCCGCTGCTGTTCGTACATGGCTGTAAGTCGCGTGTAGAGCGCGTTTGACGCGTCAAGTGGCTGACGTTGTGCAGGGCCGGGGCACTTCCTGGAAGTGCGCAAGATGCTGCCGATTCTGACGGCCGCGTCACCGGACCATCCGAGCTTCCATGTTGTCGCACTGAGCTTGCCGGGCTATGGGTTCTCCGAGGCACCCAAGAAGAAGGGCTTTAGGGGGCTGCAGTATGCTGAGGTAGTGCACACATCTGAATGGTGCCGCGAGAGGACGCATTGACGCGTCCACATGCTAGGTCGCAAACAAGCTGATGCTTGCTCTCGGGTACAATGAGTACGGTACGTACGCTCCTTTCACTGGAACCACGCGCGCGCTCATGCAGTCCCCATCCAGTCGTGCAGGGTGGTGATTGGGGCTACTACGTAGGTCTCTGCAGCACATCAATCTGAATACGTATGACACTCCTCTCAGATTTCCAAACTAATCGTCGCAGAGTATGGCACCAAGACCGTCAAGGCCTGGCATACCAACATGCCTGTGTATGTCTGCTCTACCCTCTGGCTGTTCTGACCTCCTGATCCGTCTGGTTGCAGTGCCGGACCACCAAGCGTGTGGACGCATCCAGGCCAGTTTCTCCTATTCTTGGTGAAGCCATTCACTGCCGCCGAGCGCGCTGGCTTCGGTCACTCGCAGACGTTCCAGAAGAAGGGAAATGGGTACTTCATGGAGCAGTCAACGCAGCCACAGACGGTCGGCTACAGCCTGGCAGACTCGCCCGCAGGTCTGCTCGCGTGGATCTACGAGAAGCTCGTCCGGTGCACGGACAGCTATGCATGGGAGGATGACGAGGGTGCGCAACGCTTTGTGTGATGTGCAAGTGGTGCTTTCGCTTACCTGGCTCTTGCGTTCATCGGTCAGTGCTTACGTGGATCTCGGTCTACTGGTTCTCGCGCGCCGGCCCTGCTGCGTCGGTCAGGATCTATTACGAGGTCATTCAGGACGACCCCGGCGCCTTGCGAATGGCGAAATATAGCCCAATTCCTCTTGGGCTGTCCTTCTTCCCTAAGGAGCCCGTAGTCGTGCCAAGATTGTGAGTGCACGACCGGCCTGTACCTGCGGAGTCTCTCCAACACTTGATGCTGAGACTTGTGCGGCAGATGGGCAAGGACGCTCGGCAACGTTGTGTTCGAGGCTGAACACGAAAGAGGCGGCCACTTTGCGGCTCACGAAAGACCGGAGGACCTCGCGGGCGACCTGCGCAAGATGTTCGGCAAGGGCGGCCCTGCGTACGGCGTTGTGCCGGGCAAGGACGGCTACGTCGGCCGCGATGCACGTCTGTGACAGCATTGTCCGTGTATACATCATGGTGCACCAAAGGTACTGTATTGTACGCTTGCTATCGCAATTCTGTCGTCGTGTTTGCACCTGCGTGGGAAACACTCTCACTGTAGAGTCAGTAGCGCCTATCGATGCAATGTGATATTCTGTTCTTCGTCGATCTCTTCTCGAATGTCTTCATGCGCCACCCTGACCACCCCGCCTCGGAGCCTGATCTGCTTACAGCCTTCCATGCGGTCAGAATGAGATCGGTGTCGCTGTCTACACCGGTACTTTCCTTAACGTTGGTGAACACGGTGGGTCCATCGCCTCGCGCAATTTCGAGACGCGATCCATGACGGCGAGAGACGCATTCACAAAGGAAGCCAGATCGATCTGAGCGAGCGTTTGAACATGCCAAACATACACAGTGTTCAGGTTATCTTGTTCCATATCGATAGACCTACCCGAGAATATTTGTGCGCAAGCGAGGTTGATGCGGAATTCGTGACCAGCGGTCGAGACCACTGCGACCTGGCTAGACCCGGCAAAGTATCGAGAATTGCGCGGGATGTTCGCAGTCCGATCAATAATGTTTATCGCGCGTCCGATGGCGACGTGTGGAGAGCTCCTCTCCGTTGCTGCGTCTCGTCTCACCGTCTGGCGTCCGACTGTCGATGCTGCCTCTCACTGCCTAGCTCGTCTCTCGCGCGGGACGCTCGCACGTCCCCTACCATCATCCCGAGGCGTTCATTCCGCCGCAGACGCTGGTCGTCGCATCCTCTCCACATCGGCAGCGCTTCAGGCATCGCAGTCCGGTAAACGCGTGCTCTGTCGACGCACACGCTCTCTCATGCAGCTCATCGCGTAACGCGCGCCCGTGTGCGCGACTCGCAATCCACGACCATTGGCGATCGCCAGTCCCTCTCATCGACTTGGGGAGCTCTCTCCTGTGCCCCCTCAGCTGCCTATGGCCCGAATCCCCACAACGCACGCCCATCAACACTCTGCTGCGCCCCGCTGGTTCTCAGCACGAGCACGCGCCGCGTGATACACATTAGCATGGTAAATACATGCTTGTTTTCATCTGTTGCTCATCATCCCGCCCCCATCCCCATCTCGTCCTTCCACAGCCCGTCGCCGCCGCCGCTTCCTCGAGCACCGTCAAGGGGAATCACGTTGCGCCAGGTGAGCCCATCACTGCATGCGCGCAGTCGTCTCCGCTGCCCTCTGTCCCTGCGTCTTGCCGTCCATCTCGCACCGTCGACGGCCTCGTCTTGACGTCCTCTGTCCTCGCGCAACGGCCTCGTATCGTGCGCCGTTTCCCTTTTCCTTTCGTCCCCGCCTCCGTTGCCCGTTGTCCGACAGTCTCGCACTCCACGTCCTCCCTCAGCGCACTCGTCTACCATGCCGCCGCCATCGTCTCAGCCACACCACAGGTGCGTAATGCATACCATAACATCACACATCCGTTCTCATGTCATCACGCCGCCCCCCGCGCACGACAGAGACGCCGGCAGGCAGCGTATCGTCGAGAGTGCTCACGCGTGATCCTCGCATCCTCGCTAGCACGCGCGCATCACGGCCCGCTACTCACGCGCCGAGACGGCATACCGAGCGCGCACAGGACGCGAAGCGCAGCGCCACAGATCGCTCCGCGCACACATCAGGCAGGGTTGTGAGACCCGATCGAGTCTCGCGCGGAAGCCTGGAAGACGGCATCGTCAGTGCCCCACGCATCGACGGTCAAGAGCCGACGCGCGGCGTACCTGGGAACGCGAAGCCAGCCTGCACGGCTCCGCGGCGCGCATTCTTGGATGCCCGCCCTAGATCTGGAAGCGGGACGACCGGCCAACGCTGCGTGACGTGAGTGCGAATAGAGGGATAGCAGCGAGTCAGCATGCCAGCTTGACATAACGCTAGCAAGGTCACGCACCCGCCGTGGCGCAAGACGACACGCACACGTTGGGAGGGCCGCGCACGCACAGACATCGCGCGCCTCGCGGCGTATACGCATGCATCCCGGTGCGAGACGCGCCCACTCTGCCTTCGCGCCGCTCTATATGCTGTTCCCTTGCGCGCTCGTCTGACACCCCGCCATCTTGCTCGCATCTAGCCGCCGCGCACACACTGACCCCCCTCTACTCCCCTGGGCACAGACTCCGCGCCCCACTCTCTCGCGTCACCGGACACCCATCGTCTCAGCTACACAAAAATAGGAAACCACGAGGCGGCGGCTAGAAGAAGCAGAGGAGAGAGCGAGGGACGATTGGTATGACTCGGCAAGGACATCCTATTTCTGCCTCCGCTTCCCGGCATCCCCCCGTGCCCTTGCCGATCATGTAGATACCTGAATACGACAGGTTACGCTATGCCGATCACGCGCCTCCGTGCGTCTGCGCGCACAGTCAGCAAGCTACGCAGAAACCCGTCAGCATTGACCACGCACCCAGGCCAACACTGCCGCGCCAAGTACCCGCGAGGAGTGCAGTATTTTATTCACCACAAGACGCATCCGACTCCGTTTTGACTGTTCTCGCCGACTTCCCGCGACGGCGGGTGACGACACACAGGTCCCGCTACGTACCTGCAACACATGGAGGTCAGTGCAGACACCAGGCGTAAGTGCTGTAAGCAGGCCCCAGCTGAACCATCGAGACAGACGACGGCCCCCCATCCGTCCCCGGCCCCCCATCCGTCCCCGGCCCCCCATCCGTCCCCGGCCCCCCATCCGTCCCTGGCCCCCCATCCGTCCCCGGCCCTCCTTATATCCCTCCCGCTACCCCTTTCCTGCGTTGCGAACCCACGCACGGACGCTCCCTCTCCCGCGCCCGCCGCGTACGTAACGCAGCCGCTCGCGTAGCCTTCCGCAGCGCCAACACCCGAGCCACGCGCATCTCCGCCGGGGCGCGCGCCTGGGCTTCTCGCGTGTTCGACGCGGCGTCTTCCACTATCGGACCAGACGTGCATCCCTGCACGGAGAATCCGCCAACCGCGCGCACGCCCATATCCGCATCCCGTGGCGTCCTGTCCTGTGTGCCGTGCGCGCGACGCGGGCAGTCGTCCGCCTGGCAACCCACCCGCAGGGCGGCACGCAGACCGGCGTCGCTCCCGGGAGATCTTCCGTGCGCAGGGCAAGACCCGAGCGTCCGCGAACGGGACGTCGTGCCCGCGTGTGGTCAGCGCGCGTGTGGTCAACACGCGACCACCGCCGCAACAGTGGTCTGTTGCTTTGCACGCACCCCGAGTCGCGAGCGAGGCTGCGGCACAGCGCGGGATGCATGGCAGAGGACGCGCATATTGTTTCGCACGTTGCGCGCGCGATGGGGGAGGTGCAGTGCCAGCGCGCAGGCTCGCCCTCGTCCTCGTCCTCGTCCTCTACAAGACCGGTCAATACCATCACGCAGGCTCGGGGCGCGTGTGCGTGACGGCGCGGGATATCCTGCTCGCATGCGAATACGCAAGCGTGTGAGCGAGACGGCGCAACGGCTATGAGCAACGCGAGTCGAGACGAGACGCGGCCGGGAAGCGATGCCACGCTAGGGGCGCACTGGGGTTACCTTTGGCGTCGTCTGGACTGTGTGCCAAGACGGCAGGCGCGTTGGTCGCGGTCGGCACGGGGACATCTGATGGTGTGGGCCGACAGCGCGCCACCCCGGTCGTGGCGGGGCGGCACCATGGCGGACATGCAGGGGGTTGTACTCCTCTGTGCGCGAGGGAGGCATCGCACACGGACATCGAGTTGCGAGTCACGAAGAACAGGGCTCGGACTGCACGTCGCGTGGGAAAGCGAGCGGGTACAGACAGCAGCGGCGGGAGTCGCTACAGCATCCGGAAGTGAGATCACACCAGGTGCAATACTACCTCGCGCACGCGCGAGCAAGGGCTGCCTCCGCCCGCGTTCGGACTGCTGCGTTCCAACATCACGGGCGTGCAGTTCGCCGGACGGACGGTGCCCGTGGTACGTAAAATTGACAATGAAGTGTTCTGAGTCGATTGCACGTCGTGCCTTGCGCCCGTCTCTTGCTTGCGCACACTCAACCTGGCTCGTCCTTTGTGTGCTCTCGCTTCACGCTGCTTCATGCTGCTTCACGCCTTTCGTCTGTGTTCTGCTGCCGCTTGCCCCCCGGACCGCTCTTAGCTTGCTCTGCTATTTGTGTCCGTCCCACTGCCCTCCCACCTGTCTGCTCTGCACACGCTCATCCCATCGCGACCCAGCAAATTTGCCCTACCGCCGCTGCCTGCCGTCTCCCCTGCATCCGCGAATCCAATTGTTCATCCGATCCTGCTCAACCAGCCATTACTTCGTGCGCCGTCCCTATTTCTATTGCCGAACGTCTGCTCGCTTGTTGACCGCCAAGCTGCTGTTTCACCCCACCGCCGGTCAGCACAACTAGCGTGATGAACGCAATACATGCACCAAGTACTACAGGCACAGCGTGGGCGCGTTGGCTACGGTTGCCGACCTGTACCAGGTCTACTTTTGGAATCTCGCCTTTTTGATCTTTGATCTCTGCCCGGCGCAGGCCTTGACTCTGGCACTTATCTCAGATCTCCGCATCCCTTTCCCAACATCCTGTCCCGGATACGCTCTCGTCTACTCGACATCACCATTCTCTTTTGAATCGCTACTGACACCTAAATTCAGGGACATTCTATGGAGCTATGGTGCGTGTTTTTCACTGTCATCTCTTCTGTAAGAATGACACTGACTGCCAGCACATCACACGCTCCTGCTATCCCCTCAGTGATGACCAATCTCTCTGGGTTCGGCTGCTTCATGCAAGATCTGATCCAGCGGCCGCAAGACGAGGGCTGCTACATTGTCGACTGGCACTCGCAATCCGTTGAGGACTCGGTGAGTCAACTGATGGACCACATGTTCAGCTTCTGCCAGAAGACACAGCGGCAGCACATCAACCAGACGAACCGTGTCGAGCGGCTGAGCCCGCTGCTGGACTGGAAGAACCTCGGCATCGAGTATTTGAAGGCGCGGCAGCTTGCGCTCGAGTGCGTGTAGCCGGACGCATTCTATGGTGTGGGAGGTGAAGGTGAGGAGCTCGACTTGGCATGGAGCACATGATGCCAAACTTGGTCCCCACAAGCCCGCGCTTCTGCATGTCTGGCTTCGTGACCCTGGTGACATTGGCATGCTCACAGAGGAGGTAAGCTGATGTCGTGTGTCTTGAGTGTCACAGCGGTGTTGTGTTGATGCTCCGGATTTTGCAGATGCAGATGTCGGGCATGAGCGACTACCGCGGCTACCAGTGGCCGAGGCATATGGAAGATGAAGACGAGGGGCACCCGATGTGAGTGTCCTCCCCCAGAACTGACTGCCACCTCACACAGTGCTGACGGTTAGTGCACATAGCCGGCTGGTCATGAAGGTGCGCTAACGTGCGAGCTCTGTGATGTCGGGCACTCGTTCAATAAGTACGACAGCGATTCACTCGGTAAGATGGTCGGAGCGACACAATGAAGGAATAGGGTGTGGCTTGTACTATAGGTGTGTGCTAATTCTTTCTCGTCCATGAATTCTGTCTAATTAAATGCGCTATCAGTATCATATGAGTTAGTGAATTAAAATGTGACTACTCAGATGGAAACCCATGGCAAAGTGGGCCTTGTTGGCCTCTAGGCGAGAAGATGTTTTCAACACTGACAGATGAACATCCCACGACTGGAGTCTCGCCACGGCCCTCTGCGGCGGGGTATTTCGGCTCCTTATTAAGTCCTAGAGCGCGACAAACACCATTGCATGTATGTTGTTTGATGAATGTGTCGATCCCTGCCTTTCCCTTGTCATAGAATCCTGCTGAGCCCTCGAGACTGCCTGAGCCATACAATCAGCCAACACTCCTTCCGATGCACTGTATATAATTACCTTTGAATCTGTGGATTGTAGATAACGAATTTACCACTCGGCTTTATGAGACCTGTCAATAAACTTGGTTTAGGCCTATCTCTGCAGCACAAATATGGAGGATGAACGAACCTTGTAAATCAACAAAAACAAGTGTTCCCTGACTATCAACAAGGGTGTGATGCGCAAATGCATCAACGGCCACTCCGAGTATATCTGTGTTCTGGCTGGCACAGTCAGTGCCTGAGTACTTCACTTCTTTGTACCCAGGCTCGATGTCCCTGGTTTCAAGCAGTGGCGCAGCGAGAAACATGTTGTATAGTAAACTTCTCGTATCCTTGTCAGCAATGGAGGCCGGAGGTGGAGGGAGCTCAGATGTCACTTGACCAACGAAGGTACCTGCCGAGTTCCACTCGAGCTCTTGTATGAGAGGTCAACAACAAAGAAACACAAAGTGCAATATAAGTATAACTTACCAGGAAGGCCTTTGACATGATAGGCCTTCGCACGCCTGTAGAAGGCATCCAGGAAGTATTGCCTGAGTGCCAATAGAAGGAGTTCAGCTATCATATCCCGTTGATTTAAGTCCTGGTCGCTAGGATCTCCAATTGGCCTCATTTGGAAGATAGCAACTGGTATTGGTCTGAGTCGCCCCTAAACCATAAGGAAATATGTATGCAAATCATTATCATTTCAATGGCTCACCTCAAATGCAAACTTCGAATATCCTTTTCCAATATACCCTCCTTCTCGCAAACCTCCTGTTATGTACTGCTGCCAGTCCTTTGCTATGAGGATTGTCTCAGTGCGAGGGTCCGAGATCAGTCTAACCTCTCCATCTGCCGAAACAGAAGCTTCAATCCGCGTGAACTGATAGCGGTTGAAGCGGAGTGAGTCGGATGTCTTTCTGTTGCTGTGAAAAGTGCTTGTATATGGTCTATGCGCTGATGCATGTTTCTTGTTCAGTGATGTGCCATTTTGAGCAGATGCGAAATGGGCTGACAACCATATTGCAGATGTGCATATTGCGCTGTCGTCATCTGTACTTGATAGATTAGTGTGACAGTGTCAGTCATCATGAAAGACTGTACCTTGATCAAGAGCCTTTCGCTTTTTGGTGCGCTTTCTCGGGGATCGCACAACAGAATTTGGTAAAAATTCTATGTCATTGTCATTGTCCGGCTAGTAGCAATATGATTCAATAATAGCATTTGGGTTTAGAACATTAAGATAGTTACCTGAACTTTCTCATAAAGGAACACCCGTAGACCAAGCACTCCATTTGTAATGTCCTTCTTCAAAAGCCGTTTCTCTGCTTTGAGGATCGTATGAAGGTTGCTGAGTGATCCTACAAGTAGACACGGCTCGATCAAATGATGGGTATTGGCATCAACATTGACAGCGAAAGTGACAGAATTCCTGTATTGTAGGTAGCAGTCAGTAAGAATTGAAATGACTATACTACAGCAACAGCAAAATGTAGTAAGTCTAGACATACCAGGTGAATTCCGGCATGACTTTGGGTGCTGATGGGATAGACTCGTACACTCCCTGTGCCCAGGTGACAACCTCATCAAGCACATTGTCGGCAATGTCACTGGCCTTGAACTGCTGTCAGAGCGAAGGCACTTGTACCTAAAATAAAAGTGTCAATGTTATATAACTTATGTGCTAATGATGCATCAGCACCTTTTTTGCTGCCGCACCAGTGATTGGTGTGTAAGCATAGAATGTGATGTCTACGGTCATTGTTTCTGATTTCGCCTGTAGTTGCAAAGTGTTGATGCAAGCATTTATACCTGCTGCAGTTTGAAACAAAGCTTTCTGTGATGGGCCTTGCATCTCCTGTGTGCCTTGATTGAGATGGTGCATGAATGCTTCTTTTTCGTGCCTGAGCGTGCTGGACTTGATGAACTCAATTAATTTGTCCGCACCTGTTTATATCAAGGTCAATACAATGCCCAAATTGCAATCTCAGATGTTCAACTTACCTGCAAAAAGGGTCAAGTCTACAATTCACATTAGTTGTAGTTTTATTCTGCCGGAAATGCAAGGTGTGAAATTACCTTTATGTCCGTCCTGTACACAGCTCGCACACAAAAGCGATGCATTGAACAGGTAGACAACACCACAGCCAGCACATTGTGGTTGTTGCTATCGCAGTAGTCAGTTACATATGAAAACAAATTGGATCATGTACATCAATAATACTGTATTTGTCAGCTGTAGTTGCCATTTTTTTGTGCACTTGGAGCACATATAATCTGACAGTTGAGGAAAGTGATTTCCACACCCAGAGCACTTACCCATTGTGACGTGTGGTAGTACGTGTATTCAAACAAGCGAGTACATATTATATACTTTCTGCAATAGCCGTACCCGTTTCCCGTTCCCCTTGACTTCATATTCTGCATCACCATCACCATATAAGTTGTTTGTATACATCTAGCCCGCTGCCACAGCCTACCCTCTGACACTTCATGTACTGGCAAATGTCCGCATCATTGCGAAGAAGGTGAAAGTATATTGTCGGGCTCACCTAGTTTCCCGATAGGGTGTAACAAGTCGATTACAGAGATGCAGAACCCGTTTCAAACCAATGCATGATGTTTTCTGCTGTTTTGGGCTGAAACAATGAACCAAAATGTATTTGCAAAGTTGAATAAAGTGCAATCGTGACGAAACATGCCAACAAGTTGTATTTGTGATTACTGCACAGGTTCTACATCAATGGTAGCATTATTTATGACATGAAAGGTCCTCCACACAATAGCCGATCTCAGCAAGCACATGATTAGCTCACTCAGCATACTCCAGGGCAACAAACTGTATAAGATCCTCTCCGCCAAGGTCTTTCATCAAGGCATTCACAACCATACAATCTACAGGCTGTAGACATTGATCACCACCGTAGCATGCAAAAAGGTCATATGCAATGTCCGGAGAGGTACCTGATGGCAATTTCTTTTTCGGGTCACAATGCACAATATGCAAATTGAGATGTTCCTTCAACATATCCAGCTCACATTAAATAAGCATTGGCCAGAGCCATTGAACAAGCTCACTAAAACAAAAATTAGAAAACACATGTGACTGAGCAGAAAAATGTACAAGTGTTGCAGATTTGATGGATTATAAATCCCATCACCCGCATGCCAAAATGTTTTAACATTTCCGCCCCATTGCAATGCTAGTTGCAGCCACCTACGTTCAATTGTGATATTGTGTATGCTTTTTAAAAAGCGATGTGCGGTGATAGGCGCCAAGCCCCTCTGGGCCCCGATTCACCTCTTTTCGGCAGTCGCATCCCGCCCGGCACTTCGACTCAGTCTCCCAACACTTCGATTTCGCCTTCGATGCTCTTCAACACCTTCGACGGTGCGCGACGCTTACTCGAAGCTCAGCACGGTCGTCCCGATGCCTCGCGCGTAGACCCCGGGACATCTTCCGCATTCGGCGAACAATAGGGCCACTGGACGCCGCTCGGCCAAGCGCACGCATCGCTCCATGCCACACCGACGTAGCCGGTCTTTCCCGATTAGGTATCGAACCTCGCGGCATGCCTTCAACGACGGACACCGGTCCGAAGTGTCTCGCATGCTTCCCTTCATCTCCGCGTTCGGCATGATGTCACTCTACCGATGGACTTGATGCGTGCCACTCGGTGAGGCAGCTTCGTGCGGAACAATGCAAAGCCCCTTGTACTAGTGTGCCACTCTCGATAGTCGTAGCGTCCTATGCGTAGTATAAAATCTGTCGTACTTCTCTCCAAAAATACAAGATCCGGTTCCCCCCTCGAGTTCAGAGCTCATAAGTCGAGTTCGCCCCGCGTCTAAGCCTTCAACTGCGTCACTTCGTCCCTTGCTGCGTAACTTCGAAACCTCGTCCACTGCGTTTACTCGTCGATACCGTCTCGACGAACCCTTCGACTTCGACTATTGTCGAAGAAACTGCGAACCGCGCCCTAGCTAAGTCCACCCTTCGAGTCGTGTCCCTTCCTTCTACGATACATCGAAGAGCTCTGCCGAGCTTCGATCGTCTCCACTAACCACCCACAGCCTCCGAGTAGCTTCGACGACGTGTCGAAGCCACCTCGTACCTTTCCTAGCGTTCGTAGCCTTTTCCGAAGGCGTTTCTCGTGTTCACTCGAACCGCGGGACACCTTGCTGCTAACTCCCCTCTCACTAAGACTATAATCCGTCTCTCTAGTCCCTTTAGGTCGCACCCAGGTTAGGGGTTAGGGTTTCGTAGGTCGTATCATTTCTGGAGCCCACCGCGAGGGGATTTCAGGCAAGAATTCGCCGCTTTCGGGTTTCCGAAAACGTCTCCAGTAGTCACCCGCTCGCAAGCGCGTGAGGCGGCTAGTCGCAGCGCCGCCGAAAACCCCGACAGCTCCTCTCGAACGCACTCAACTCCCTCTCCGACAATTCCCGGTAACTTCGACCGCGACGAAGAAGACGAGATAGACCAAGAACTCCAGGACGACTTCGACGAAGAACCGATCCCTTCGACCGCCGAAGAACGCACTTCGTCCCCCGAGCTTCTAGGCCTCACTACTTCTGACTACGACACTTCGACTCCTGATCTTTTCGAACGAT